AGGTCAAATTTGGGTTGCTAGGTGAGAGATTACAGTCCAGGGTGTATTCTCTGAAATGCTCCCAGTTGCACGCACAGGGCCGGTTAGACAGGCAGAGCTGCAGGGTCTCAATGCGCGGGTGAGACCATGGAGTTTGGAGGAGGGGTTTGGGTTTATTGGGAACCTTTCGGGAAAGGGGGAGCCTGTATAGGAAGGATGGGCTCCACCTAAACCAAAACAAAACCAGCTTGCAGCCATGTAAAGTAAAAAGGTCGTAGAGGGGTTATTAAACTAAGGGCTGGGGGAAGCCGACAGGTGCGGAGGAGCACGTGGTTCGGACAGAGACCTCCCTGAGGGGAGGAAGAGACGTGTGTCCCTGGGTGAGCTGCAGGCCCTGACTGCCGCTCCCTTCCCGTCCCAGATAAGCTCTGGTTCTGCCGCCTGTCCCCCAACCACAAGGTGTTGCACTACGGAGACGTGGAGCCGGGGGTGCAGAGCCCCCCCATCGAGAGCCTGCCGGAGAAGAGTACGTGACAGCCAAGAGGGGGATCGTCCCTCACAGGGGATGTGATCGCGGGGTGCCGAGTAACAAATGGGGCAGTGGCGATCGGGTGCTTCTGTTCTCTCTCTAACACAGAGCAAGGGACTCTTGGTGGCAGACCGATGCTCTTCCCACAGGGGGTGGTTAGCCTGTGGAACTCATGGCCACAGAAAACTGCTGAGGCCAAGAATTTAGCAAGATTCCCAGAGAGAGTGACTATGGAGCGGCCAGAGCTGGCATCGTTCATGCCAACACTTGGCCTAGACAGGATATTAACTGTCCTGCTTTCGGGCTTCAGCTGGTCTGTCTTAGACAGCGGGGGCAGCGAATCCCCACCTGCTCCTGGGGTTCGGGCATTGCCCTCTGAAGCAGCTGGCGTTGGCTACTGAGGGAGATGGGGCTCCGAGTAGATGGGCCTTGGCTCTGAGCCTGTCTGGTGGTGCCCAGGCTGCTGAATAACCCCAGGCTGCTGGCATGTACCTGCCCTGCCCAGCACCCAAGGGGGCTGCCTTTCCTCCTGTGCTTGTCTTGCCAAGAGACCTGTGCTGGGCTCCCTCGGGGGGTGCATCTGCCGGGGCTTGGGCTGAGCCACCTGGGGTGGAGCTGGTGGGCGGGGGGAGCATGCTGGGCTCTGCTGAGCGCCTCTGTCCCCCCAGTTCCCGTGGCCGACATCAAGGAGCTGCTGGTTAGCAGGGAGTGCCCGCACATGAAGGAGAAGGGCTCCGGGAAGCATAACAAGGTCAGCAGCTGCTCCCTGCCTGGCCACTAACTCCCCCCCCACCCCGGGCTCTATACAGGCATGGGTCTGTCAGCTGGGTCCCAGGGGTGGGGCTGCCTGCCTGCCCGATAGCATGCCTCCCTCTCCTTGTTATCCACACTGCGCTGGTCCAGGGAAGGCAAAGTGAGCACAGAGATCTGGGCAGGCGCATGCTGCAAGGGCAGCTGTGAAGGGCCAGCAGCCGCCCTGTGTAGGCCACCGTGAGCGTCTAACACCCCTCGTGCTGGCCGGCAGCGCAGGGCCCACTGTGGAACCTGAACGGGACAGAGAATGAGAGCCCAGCAAGGAGGCACTGAGCTGGGCGCTCCCCCACGGCCCTGCGAGTTCACCAGCTCCTTGGGTTTTCCCCGCCTGGAGATCGGGGGTTGCTGACATCGCATGTAGGCCTGGGGCTTGTCCACACAGGAGTTACCGGGCAGCCAAATCGACGGCGCCCCAGCTTGCTGCACGGCGCTGTCCCGGCGAGGCTGGGGCTCTGCACTCACATGTTGCCTGGCCACTCGCGGTGCAGCCCAGCCCTGCGACATGTCACCGCAGGATACAGCCCTGTCCGCTGCCTGCCTGAGCCCCGTGCTCCGCACAGCCCTTCCTGTCCTTGTGCAGCTGCACCCAGGACTGGCAGCCAGGAGAGTGAGATGCACCTGCTGTTTCCCCACAGGATGTCCTGGACCTGGCCTTCTCCATTAGCTACGACGTGGAGGAGTACTACCTGAACTTCATCGCTCCCACACGCTACGAGGTGAGCCTCTGGCTGGGACTTGGCTCCTGGGTTCAGGGGGCCCGTTGGACCAGCTTGTAGCTCAGATTCGGCCGTGGGCTTGGTGGGTGACCTTGGCAGAGCCTCTGCCCCTTTGTCTGTTTCCCCATCTGTGAAAGCAGGAGGCGGCTCCCCCTTGGCAAAGCCCTTCAGGCTCTGTGAAGGGAGAGTGCATGGCAGGGCTGCTGGGGTCTGTGCGGACAGACAGCAGGGAGCAAGGCGGGCACGTGGCACAGAGCTTGTTACCCGGACACGGCGTTCTGAGCTGTAATTCTCCGAGCGAGCCAGCAGTGCCCACGCCGCTCTGGGCAGTCCCACGATGCTGGCGTTGCACCCCACTGCCAGTTGTCGGCCGGGGCTGCGGGCAGTTGTGCCTTTGTACGTCAGTGTGGCTGTGCCTTGTGGAAGGCGGGTTCTGCAGTTCACTGCCCACGTGTCCTCAGAGGCTCACAGACCAAGCCTGGATGAATGGGAAGTTACCATTTCCCTCAGCCCGGGCCAGAGGTGAGGGCCCTTGGGGGTGTTGTAGGATCGATCTGGGGGCATGCACCTGGCTGAGATCAGATTGGGATGGGAATATGGCACAGGCGGAGAGGAGGTGTGCCTGGGCCTGGATCAGGAAGGGCTGGAGGAAGAGGTGTGGCAGTGGATGGGCGTGGAGCTAGAATGAGGCATGAGAGATGCTAGACACCTCTGAAGGGAGGGAGGGTGCACGGTGGACTGCGTGGAGAGACAGGAATGCAGCGAGGGGGGCGCGCTGGGGGACAGGCGTTAGCACTGTCCCTGCCTGGAGAAGACCCTACATACAGCTGGCTGCCCTCCACGCAGGACTGATGTTGAAACAGTGCGACTTTGCCCATAGCCAAGGCCCTGGGGGTCAGACTGGGGGCCAGGGACTGAGCTGTGAGGTTCAGTTCTGGCTGTCCAAAGCCATTTTGGGGCCGGTAAAAACCCAGCTGCCGGAGCCTTCCCCTGGTCACGGGCTGCATCTGCCCCTGTGAATTCCACCCCGGCCTGCTGCCGTCCCCTGGCCTGTTTGAGGCGCGTGGCCGAGGGGACACACCTGTGGCGCTGGGTGGATTGCGGTGGGTGGGAGACTCGGGCGGGTGTTGGAGGCGGGCAGGGGGACGACTACCCGGAGGCTGAGGCCAGTGTTTGGTTGCCCCTCAGTTCTGCCTGTGGACGGACGGCCTGAACGTGCTGCTGGGCCGGGAGATGACGAGCGAGCGAACCCAGAGCGAGCTCGACATCCTGCTCTCCATGGAGCTCAAGCTGCGCCTCCTGGACCTGGAGAACATTCCCATCCCCGACGCCCCTCCCCCCGTCCCCAAGCCCCCCAGCAATTTAAACTTCTGCTATGACTTCAGCCCTATGGAACAGTGAGGGCAGCCGCCCCGGCCATGGCTCTCGCCCCGAGCCAGCCCCAGCTCCCAGCCCTGCTAGCGGCTAGTCTGGGCCAGAGTCTGCGCTGTAAGGGGGAGGAAGGGAAAACCCGGCTCCGCACTGAGGCATGGGCTCAGGCACCTGCTGCAGCCCCTCCTGCTGGGCAGGGAGCAAGTGGGGGAAGGGCTGGTGGGCAAGGAGACGGGCTCCTACCTGGGCCATGATTTCCTTTCCCCCTTGTCCTGGTTCTGCCCAGGGGGAGCCGCAGAGCCCTGGCCCCTAGTGACTGGCTCCACTCCCCAGGCTGAGCCTGCCCCTTCCAGCAGGGGCCTTGCTCTCCTGCTTGCTGCCTTGACCGAGCGGGGCTGACCCAAGTGCCTTATTGCCCCTCTCTGCACTTGTGCTGCTGCTGTTAATGCGCCGTGGGGGATGGCCTTTGTCTCCCCGCTCCCCACAGCAGGCTGCTCCTGGGGTTTGACAGAACCTTTGGCAACCCGCTGGGCCCCTCGGAGCTGGTGCCACCCTCCCGCAGAAGTCCTTAACTGCTGCACTGGTACGATACGGTGCCCTTGGGTGCACCCCAGGGAAAGACTCCAAGATGGAGAAGGTACGATTCTGTGCGGCCCCATGCTCCCCCTGCCCCTCTCTGGGTGATGTGACAGCCTGAGCGGGGGGCCAGCAGCCCCACTGTTCTTTATGGACAATAGGGCGTTTGGGGGGAAATCTGCCTTCCAGCAGCTAAGGCGTTAAAGCTGCTGGGGCCACATGGCTGAACGACTCACTGAGCACAAGGAGAAACTGAGTCACTTCCTGGTCCCCTCTCCGAGCCTCCCCGAGCTGGGATGCTGGCGCCTGGCTGGTGGGAGATGATGCTAGGCACGGGAGGGCGCCTGCTGGAGGCTCCGCTGTCCCTCGGGGCTGATGCCTGCACACCAGGAATCCTGGCCAGGCTGCCAACACCCCACGGTGCGCGAGGGTAGGGGAGCCGAGCCATCCCTGGCCGCAGCTCAGCACTTCTCGCCCCATCCTACCGTCTATCCTGCTCCAGGCATCCCCTGCACCCCTTAGCCATAATGCTGCACTTACTAACCGGCCAGCCTGCTTCCCTGGCCCCTCACCCTGCTAACGGGAGCCCCTGCACTGTACCTCTCCAGCCTGGTGCTTCTACTGAGAAAGGTACGCCGTGGCACCAGGCCCTCCCCCTGCCCTCTATATGGGCCTGTAATAATACTAAGGGACTAACCTGCCTGATTGTCTCAGCACTGGACCTGCACTGTCCCCTGCCCTGGGGCTGGAGAGGGCTGAGAACAGACCCCTTCCACCCCCCAGCATTTGGACAATAAACACTTGTACGGAGAAACCCACGGCCTGTTTTCTTGTTTCCATCTGGATTACTCCGGCCTCCTTGGGCTGGACCCTGGTTATCTGCAGCAGCTGCAAGGCAGTGACTTCTGTGCTCGGCTGCAGCATAGCGCCCCCCTCGGGCAGTGCTGGCAGAGGGTGGGCCGGGGCCCCAGGCCCTCCTGCTTTGCACAATACACACGGTCAGTGGGGATGTCCACATTAGAGGCTTTTATTAGAGCACTGTCTACATCACCGTATGAAGGCACCACGAGTCGCTTTGAAGGAGTCTGAAGGGGGGCTGGTTTCCTGGGAGGGTCGTGGCAGGGGGTAAGGAACAAGTGGAAGGGAGACAGACCCGTGTGCTCTGGAAGCAGCTGATGCAGCCTTGCCTGCTGGTGCGGCAGGGGCAGGCAGCACAGAGCTTTGTCCTGGCACAGGAGAGCGGGCAGTGAGACATCTCTCTCCCCCGCCACCCGCCGGAGGGGGAGAGCGAGCGGGCAGTGAGATATCTCCTCCCCCCACCCGCCGGAGGGGGAGAGCGAGCGGGCGGTGAGATATCTCCTCCTCCCCCCCACCCGCCGGAGGGGGAGAGCGAGCGGGCGGTGAGATATCTCCTCCCCCCCCCCCGCCGGAGGGGGAGAGCGAGCGGGCGGTGAGATATCTCCCCCCCCCCACCCGCCGGAGGGGGAGAGCGAGCGGGCGGTGAGATATCTCCTCCCCCCCCACCCGCCGGAGGGGGAGAGGAGCGGGCGGTGAGACATCTCCCACGCCACTCTGCCTCCCAAAATGGAAGGAGTGGACTTAGGCAGTGAATTTCCCCCTCCCCCCCGCACCATCCTTTTTGCACCACTAGGCTTAGTCCTGTGCTGGGGAGACGGGGCAGGGGGGCTTGGAGGAGTCGCAGCATGGAACAGCAGCTCTCGCTGCCCAATCCTGCTGCGGAAAGAAGCACTCAACCCCTTCAAGGGGCTTTAGCTCCCTCTCCCCCTGGCTGAACCTGGCCCAGGGCAGGTGCCTTGGCTTTTTGGGGCCTAGAGCTGGGCAAAGGATGGCCACTGTTTCAGCCCTGCGCGACCAGCTGGGATCCCCTGGAGGGGCCAGGGCCCTAGTGGAAGGCAGTCTCCAAATGGCTCTGCCTCCGAAGGGAGTCTGGGGGCATGCCTGATTGTCCCTGGCTGGGGGAGGAAGCTCAGGGCCTGGCCTGGGTCTGAAGGGTTCTTTGCACACCCAGAACTTGCCAGTGGCCCAGCTGCACTTAGTGTTAGACACTCGAACTCTTTGGCCAAAGGGTGTCAAAGAAACCTCACTCACCCCCAGCCCAGGCCAAGAGGCCATGGGCGTGTGTCCCAGCTGGGAGCTCAGGGAACAGGAGGTGGGAAGCTGCAGAGCATCCGTGGGGAAGGGCCTGAGCTGCAGCATCAGACGTTCTCCGAGCTGCCCAGTGAGGAGGGATCTGAGCCTGCCGCTTGGCCCCGCTCACAGGGTGAAGGAAAGGTCTGCTCCACCCACAAAGCGCGACTGGACACACGTCTGCAGGGGGAGCTGGACCTGGAAAAGCTCAATATCAGCCATCCTGATCCCATGGCACATGGAGACATCCAGGCTCTTCAGCTGTCTGCACTCCCTGCTGATGGCCATCAGTGTCCTGAAAAGGAGACAAGTCAGGGATCTCTCCGCTCAAGTCAGCCCCTTCCTCCCAGCCTGAGACAGGCAGGGCGACTCTCCCCGGCTGGGCCAGGTCTCTGGGGGAGGACCTCCCCCTTTGAAGGCCAGCATCAGAGGAAGGCCTTGCGATACTTACTGGCATGTGAGCTGGCTGCAGCCAGAGATGACGAAATGCTGGAGTCTCCGTAGAGAGCCAGCAGCCTCCATGAAGCCTTTGTCAGTCAGCTTTCCACAGTGACTCATGGACAGCTGCTCCAGGCTCTGGCAACCCCTGGCCACCGCTACCAGGCTGGCGTCAGTGATCTCTGGTAGCAAGCTGAGGGAAAGCTGCCTCAGGGCTGGGAAGCGGATAACCTAGATGGACAGACGGATGAGAGCCCATTGGGCAGAGCTGGCCTGAACCTTTCCAGAGTGTTACAGCCGTTGTGCTGGGACTCACAGGCGGGCACATCTTCACCACCGGCTCCCGTCCTGGGCAAGGCTTGCAAAGAAAACTTCAGAGCACAAAGTGTTTGGAAGGAGAGGAAAGGCGTCCTCAGCCCGGCTTCCGCCCAGAGCCGTGACACCAGGGAGCTCTGAGGAATGAGGTCCTACCCCCGAATCTCTCCCCTGGGTCAGTACCGCTGCTGGGACTGTGCAGGAGGGGGTTGCTTTCTGCTGGCAGGACAGCTTCTAACCCACGCAGCCTGGCGCACTGCCCACCCATCCACACTGCAGCTCCCCAGCAGCACTCAAAGCTGCAGAAGCAGATCGGAGACTGATTCCTCCACCTCAGTGCCCTGAGTCACGTGGGCACCTGGTGGACAGTGGTGACACAATCCGGTGCTGAGAGGGAGCTGTTAGCGCCCGGCAGCGTTTCCCCTGGTGTGTACACAGGAGCATGCAGCCCAGGAGGATTTCTCTCGAGTACAGGCTGCATATGAGGGACAGCTGCTGGGCTGGCTGAGCCCCAGTCCACAGCCGGGCTCTCCATACCTTGGTGATGCTGGTGTCAGTCAGCTTGCTGCAGGCCATGAGGTCGAGCTCTTGCAGATACTGTAGTGCCTGCAGGGAGGCTCGGGGCTGCTTCTGGGACTCCTTCCAGGAGGAGTCGCTGAGGGCCTTGGGATCCTGCTCCAGGTTCTGCAGAGGCGGCAGGAAGAATCCCATGTTACCAAAATTCCTGCTGAACTGGGGCCCTGTGTCCTTCTGCCAAGAAAACAGACATGATGCTGAGCCCAGGGGGCTCTCGGCCTCCCATCCTCTGAGCTGTGTCAGGGACTCGGCTGGGTGTCCCAGAGAGAAGAACAACCCCACACACGTTCCCGTTCCACGCCGGCTCCCCAGGTGCCGAGCTGTGACTGAGCTGCCAACATCCTCGTGACCTCATTTAATGTTGTGTCTGGGCACAGGCTGGCCCTTGGCAGCACTCAGAGAGCCCCTACTGCCTCAGCTTTCGCTCCACGGGCATCAGCCAGGCTCCTGAGTTTCGGGAGTGGGCTCTCACCTCTCTGCGATGGTTACACTCCTCTCTGGGCTCCTCTGCACCCAGGAGACCCAAGTCCGTCAGCTCCTTGCACCAGGCCAGTCGCAGGACAGTCAGCCGGGGGAGGTGGGAGGAAATCGCCTGGATGCTCACGTTGGTGATGGAGACGCAAGAGGAGAGATCTAATACCCGCAGACTGGGGCTTAGGGACCTGGCCAGCGAGAGGACAGAGCTGTCCTGGGGAGGAGAAGGGAACGAGTGAGAAGCCAAAGAGCTGCACTGAGCATGCCAAACCTGCCCTGTTGGCCAGGCCCAGGAGCCAAGGCTCTGTGCAGGAGAGAGCCCCACACGGCCAGGGCCTCCCCGGTGGGGCAGAGCCTGGTGGCCCGGCTGCAGGTGAAGGGGTCTGGGACTGAAAGGCAGGGGCTGCCCCTCAGGGCCCTGCCCCCTCTGCCAATAGCAAGAATTGGGGAACTTACTCTGAGCAGAGAGCAGAAGGCAAAGCTGAGGGAGGCCAGGTTAGGCCGTAGCTCAGGGGAGGAGCACACTTTCACCAGCTCGCTGCCGCTCACGAGGCTGCACTCAGACAGGTCCAGGTTCTGCAGGCTCCGGAGCTCAGCAATGCCCAGGAAACCCCCGTCCGTCAGCCTCTGGAGCTTCCCCAGGTGCAAGCTCTGCAGGGCTCGCAGCCCTGCTGACACAGCAAGGGTGGCCCGGTCAGACAGCTCAGAGCACCCGGTGAGGTCCAGCGCAGTCAGGTGGGGCTGGTGCGTACAGAGGAGGCTGACGGCCTCGTTGGAGAGGTCCTGGCAGTTCTGCAGCACGAGTTCCTGCAGGCGCAGCCCCTCCACTTGCACCAGGGACCTCATCGCTGGCAAGGTGATGCTGGTGCCACTCAAGTCCAAGGCCCGGAGGCTGCTGGCCCGCTCCTTCAGGAACCGCAGGAGGTTGCGGAAGGACAGCAGGGCAGTGGAGTTGTAGTTGCTGGACCCGCGGTAGGGGTCAAACTCAAAGGTGAGGTGGCAGCGAGCCAGCGAGAGTCTGGCCAGGCGCGGCGCACAGCCAGTCAGCCGGTTGAAACTGAGATCTGACAGGTAGCGCAGGCTGGCCAGGTTCAGCTCCTGGAGATTGGTCAGCGCTTCTCGGGCTTGGCCAATGGTCTCTGGCTTGGAGAGCAGCGTCCCAGACATGAAGAGGCTGTTGCAGCCACTCAGATCCAGCGAGGAGAGGCAAGGGCAGGCAAGGAGGAGGTGCAGGAAGGATGTTTCGGTCAGGCTGCTCCCACGCAGAGACAAGCTCTGCAGATGTGGCCCCAAGTGACAGGAGACAGCCTGGATCACGTCACGGGAAACGGTGGAGCCGTCGAGGCTGGTCAGGCTGACGCAGCTCACGCGCCGTCTAGCCAGGCTCTCAATGGCTGCCAGAGAGGTGGAGGTGGCTGGGATGTTGTACAGGATGTTCTCCTGGAACCGAAAGGGGAGAGGCTATTGCCACGAGCACAGGACAGCCCTGGAAACTGGGGAGTGCAGAGCAAAGGCACCCCCGGTCCGGGACTCCAGGGAGAGATGGCTTGGGGGAAGCACTGGAGACATAGGCTAGCACAGGCCTTGAGGCCCAAAACCTAGGGTCTGGGGGCAACAATGGAGGTGCCCTACGCTCCAGAGACACAGCCAGGGAACAGCTGTCTTCCCCTCCGCCCCTTAGTCGGGGCACACTGAGCATGTGCAGAATGAGGCGGTGAGTGCAGATCCCAGGGAGGACCATAGGCGTGCAAGCATGTGCACTGTCTGAGCACTGTGGAGTGGGGAGGGAGGAAGAACTGCAGAATGAGCCTGTGGGGAGCAAGTGCTGCAGTGAGCCGGGGGAGTGGAATGGGGCGAGAGCTGCAGGGTGAGTGGGGTGGGGGACAGACTCTGGGGGGGGACTGCATTCCGGTACGTGCTTGGCCTGGCTCTGTAACTCTCCTGCTAAGAGTAAAGGGGGGGTGTTACGAAGTTCCTTGCAAAGCTGCTGCCCTTGCTTTAACAGCCACACGGTGCCCAGGGGTTGAACTGCCACCCAGAGAGCCTACAGGCAGGTGGGGCCCTGGGAGACTGTGCAGAGTGGCTGCAGAGGCTTGGGAACTCTCAGCAGCCGCTCTGGGGCCTGGGGCAGCTGGCTGTGGGATCTTTTGTCCCAGGAAGGGGCCACACGAGAGGTCTTCCCTGAGGATGGTGCCCTAGAAGTCCTGCTGCTGAAGTAGCGACTGGACTCTGCCCAGAGCCAGCTGCTTGGGCAATACGTGGGATCCAAAGCTGGGGTCCGATTAACACAGGCTTGTAACCATTCACACGGGGACTCAGCGGGACAGCGACAGTGGGCACACCGCACGGATGAGGGCTGCAGGGAGGGGTGGGCTTTACCTGCCGCAGGGAGTCCTGGGCCGCAAAGTACCAGGTGTGATTCACCAGAGAGGCCTCCTTCCTGTCGGCGATGGGCAAGAAGCTGAGGATGTAGGTGATGACCTGGGAAGAGAATGGGAGAGGCATGGGGAAGGGCCCCAGAGCAGGATTTGTGCAGCACAGAAGAATTAGGGCATTTGCTGGGGAAGCCGTGTTTGGAGAACAGCAGTGCCTGACGTGCTCCGGTTTCTGAGACGCTGCTGCACAGTCTGTGGGCCGTGGCCCCGGTTTGTGCACTTGTCCTCTGCAGGAAAGGGGATTTACTGCACAGCACCAGCTCAGGGGAGGCAAAGCTGAAAAGGAATCATTTAAAAACTTCTGCCACGTGGCAAAGTCTCTGAAGGGCTGTCACCCATCTTCCTGAACACGCCCAGAACGTCCCGTGCTCTGAGATTTCACTGCGATACAAATCAGGAACAGGGCCCCACCTATGCAGTGGTTCCACAGCCAGAGAACTGCATTTCTCACCAGGACAAAGAAAATCTTTAAAATAAGAACACAGCATAATTGATGCCATGATCATAGAATCACAGAATATCAGGGTTGGAGGGGACCTCAGGAAGTCAGCTAGTCCAACCCCCTGCTCAAAGCAAGACCAATCCCCAACTAAATCATCCCAGCCAGGGCTTTCTCAAGCCTGACCTTAAAAATATCTAAGGAAGGAGATTCCACCACCTCCCTAGGTAACACATTCCAGTGTTTCACCACCCTCCTAGTGAAAAAGTTTTTCCTAATACCCAACCTAAACCTCCCCCACTGTAACTTGAGACCATTACTCCTTGTTCTGTCATCAGCTACCACTGAGAACAGTCTAGATCCATCCTCTTTGGAACCCCCTTTCAGGTAGTTGAAAGCAGCTATCAAATCCCCCCTCATTCTTCTCTTCCGCAGACTAAACAATCCCAGTTCCCTCAGCCTCTCTTCGTAAGTCATGTGTTCCAGTCCCCTAATCATTTTTGTTGCCCTCCGCTGGACTCTTTCCAATTTTTCCACATCCTTCTGTAGTGTGGGGCCCAAAACTGGACACAGTACTCCAGATGAGGCCTCACCAATGTTGAACAGAGGGGAACGATCATGTTCCTCGATCTGCTGGCAATGCTCCTACATATACATCCCAAAATGCCATTGGCCTTCTTGGCAACAAGGGCACCCTGTTGACTCATATCCAGCTTCTCATCCACTGTAACCCCTAGGTCCTTTTCTGCAGAACTGCTGCCGAGCCATTCGGTCCCTTGTCTGTAGCAGTGCATGGGATTCTTCCGTCCTAAGTGCAGGACTCTGCACTTGTCTTTGTTGAACCTCATCAGATTTCTTTTGGCCCAATCCTCTAATTTGTCTATGTCCCCCTGTTTCCTATCCCTACCTTCCAGCGTATCTACCTCTCCTCCCAGTTTAGTGTCATCTGCAAACTTGCTGAGGGTGCAATCCACATCATCCTCCAGATCATTTATGAAGATATTGAACAAAACCGGCCCAAGGACCGACCCTTGGGGTCTGCCTGTGTCTGCGAGGTGCAAACTACCTTGTTCATGCCAATGGTTTCTGAGCTCTGAAATGCTAATCTAATTGTCAGTATGGTGAACTGTCTCACTCCAGACAATTTCAGTAGAAACTTCCAGCTCACGTTTGTATCCCACAATCCCAAACTGCCTCTCCCTCCTTCCCAGGAGGCAAAAGCCACAGCTGTTCCCTACCCTGGTGCCAAAGGAGTCAGCTTTCCCTAGACAACTTCCACAATATTGTGCTATATGGTCAACACAAAACTCTGAGTATGCTGTCAACTTTGAGACAGTGCAAAATCAAATGATCAAATTCAACAACCCAGAGACACTGCACTGGTTCGATGATTCGTTGTCCTATTTAATGAATCTACAGACCACCTCTCTGTTTGTTTTAATTTCTCTGAAGCTTCTGCCCAATTCCCAGGCTGCTGCATGGGAGTGCTGAAGAATTCAGATCAAGCTTCCCATGCACATGGCTCTGAGGAGAAATGAGGATTACCTCACCGCACCCTGAAGTGTGACCATTTCTGTGGTGGGACACAGCAGCTCGGCATGAACAGAGATGCTGCCCAAGCATTTAGGACAGGAAGTGAGGAATGCTTTATCCTAGTATGCTTGCAGGCACAGTTCCCAACCTCCTTTGCACCCTGTAACATTTCATGTCCACTTTGGCTGGTGCTGTCTCAAGGGTGTGCACTGACTGACAGAACTGAAGGAATACTCAGCACAGTTGTAGTGCGAGGAAGGCCAGCTGGGTTTAGGATTTTGTTTGGCTCCAGCAGAGAAGTTGTAGTTACCGAGTTTGAAACATCCGTGTTGTTTTCATTCCTTGATCAGAATCTTGTGACTGCACACTGAAGGACAGAGAGGCCCAAGAGTGGTTGGAAAAGCTTAAGTAGAAAGAGCGTGGTCTGCTTACATGATGGACAAACCTACGTGGTCTGGGAGGGGTCTGTGATGGATTTGGAGCTGCCTGTTTTCATGGATCCACAGGAGACAAACAGCTCCTTGGAAGGATCCCTTCACTGTGCCAGACCCGCAAGGGGTCTCACTGTTCCTTCAGAGTAGGCCAGGCAGCCTCAATGCTTCCAAGACTGAAGCTCTGGGCTCCAGCGCTCCTGCGTCACACCGTGAGCTCCGCCCAGCGAGTCTAACTGAGACAGACTCCTGGTCAGAGACCTTTACACTCTTCTGGGACCAGCGCACCTCAACCAGTGTTTGCAGTGACATCAGGCAGAGGAGGCTTTGTTAGTCACCCAGAAGACAGCAGCGGGAAGTCCTTAGGTGAGTACAGACAAGCAAAGGTTAAGACATGGTCCATCCTGGCCAAGTCAGCATTCACCCAGCCACGCTGCTCTGGGATCCATTTCTGGCCCTCGCCCTCTGTCGCCTCTTTGTCAGTCCCAGGTGAGAGCTGTTGAGTCTCTCCAAAAGCCAGCTCTGATCCCCCTCCTGCCAACCCATGCTGAGGTCACATGTTCCACCTTCCGAGATTCCACGTCCTTGGGCCTCCCCTTGCCATCTGGATCCCCCACTGATATGGGTCAGCTTCAGCCAGTCCTTTAATGCTCCATTCATCCCACCCCAGGCAGTTCTGTGACACAAACTGCAGGACTCCTGCTCTGCCCTAGGTGTAGAGTTAACTCTTTTGTGCCACGGGGTGACAATCCACGCTCAGTGAGTCACTGCCATGCATATCCTTCATAAAACCATTACAGAACATTCCCACTTTGCACTGCATCAGGAACAGGCCACTGTGGGGCTTACCCAGCCAAATGTGGGGTGGGTCCCTGCAAGCACCTGAGAGCCAAGGCAAGAGCCCTTCTCTTGGCTGTTCGAGCCTGACTGTCGGCAGAGCTCACTGAACTGTTCTGGGCAACTGTTTCCAAACCCAGGAAACTGCCAAGAAAGGCCTTTGGCTGGCTCTAAGGACAGGGGTCGTGCTGGGGGGAAATGTTGTGGGGGGCAGACTGTTCCCCATAGGTAAGGACTCTAGATGTGTAGACTTTTGTTGCTGTAAAATCCTTTTTCTCTTATGCGCTGCTTGGATCCTGTGGTCACACGAACACTGCTTTGGTCTGACAGAAGGTGTCACTAGCTCCCCAAGGGAAGACCCACAAGTGCCGAACCCCATCACACTGGCAGCGTGAGCATGGTCAGTCCACAGGGGGCTGCAGCCCAGGGCCTGATCTAAGAGTGATAGTATCATCACCGAGTCCCACAGGGGATCAAAGGCAGAGAGGGAAGCTGATGGAGGACAGGTAACAAAGGCAGATAAGCAGTCTGGAAAATTCTAGTGAAGCTGTTCTGCCAGTCTATTGCTTGTTTCGGTTTGGTACTTTGGACTCCGGATCATAGCAGAGCTGTACGTTAGCTACTCTTATCAGCATCCTTAATGACTCCTCTAAAGGGTGTTTCCACACAGCACTATACTCACTGTACAGAAGATGGCTGAATACCTTGTGTGCTTTTTAAACTTACACCAATCTCTTGATCCAAAGGTCTCTAACATAGACAGAGCCACATCCTGCAGAATGCTGAGCACTCTCAGCTCCCACTGAAGTCCAGGTTATCCCAGTGAAATCAAAAGGAAACTGAGGATGCTCAACACCCAATAAAAGGCATGCAGCACCTTGCAAGATTAGCCCTTTACTGTGACACGGAACATTTGCTCTCCTTTGGTTGATTGAAATATACCTAGTGTCCACGCATAAAAGTGCTTCTATTGACTGTTGGGTGGCTAAGGAACCAGCCAGCCAGACCTGGCGTTCTCAGGGCTAAGCACCAGGATCACCCACCCTGTCCGAGGGCAGGTGAAAGTGCTGGCACAAAGCTGAGCACCCCAGTGGGGAGAGGGATGCCGTCAGGAGCAGAGGGCCAGCTCTGTTTCACAGCTCCCTTAGTTGGTAGAACTCCTACAGTTGGCTGAGCGTTCCCCACATCTAAGTCCTCCCCGTAATGTCCCCCCTCATGTCCACAACCAACAAACATAAGTACATAAGAATGGCCATGCGGGGTCAGACCAATGGTAAGTTTGGACCACAGAAGAGGGTGTCTCAGGACTTCTGCTGAGTTAAAAGATCTGCACCTCTCAAGTGCTTTACCAGCAGAGGTACTGTGGCTAAAAATTCCTTGGCTCAGCCTGTGTGCCTTGCTTTCCCGTCACATTGTCCTTGAAAGGGTCAAACTAGAAGCCAGAGTAACCACAGCTAAGGTGGGGCTCAGGGGCTGTGTGTGTATAGAGTTTTATGTTTCTTACTATAAACGAGGCTCTTTACAAGGAAAGAAAACAAGGAGAGAGGTGCTGGCCGATTTGGAGTTTTGCTAATGGGAATACTGAAAGGCTCAGGAGGTCTCAGGGATGAGGGGGGCAGCATCCCACATCCCAACAAGGGCCTCAGCCAAGAGGTCTGAGCCCAGGAGTGCCTGAGCCAGAAGCAGTGACTAGATTCTACCCAGAGCCAGCTGGCTGGGAAGCATGTGGGACCCTGCTTACAAAAGACTAGTGATCTGAGAGAAGGACCCTGAACAACTTACTGGGGATTCTAGCAGTTGGCTGTGGTAAAGGTGTGATAAGCCCTAAAGAGCCATTGCCCTCTCTGAAGCCAGGAGGGGGCAGCAATTCTGGTGGAGTGAGTCCCTGTCCCTGGAGAGCAGGACCTACGCAGGTCACACAGACCCCAGCAATAACATTCTAGTAGCCTATTTAGATGACACAGGCTGGGGCCTATTACCAACCTCGAGCCCAAGGAAACACAGGAGTGTTGTCCTAATCTGAACCCCAGTTCTAGTCATATGAACTCTTGTAACCTTCCAGACACTGACTGGACTTGGAAGTGCCCCCATCCAGCCCACTGCTGTCCAGCCTGAGCCATCAGAAGGTGTTACCTCCACTGGGAGCCTTTGCGTCTCCATGCAGCTGCAGCTGCCCCTTTTTGGGACCCCCAGCACGGATTGCTCCTGCTCAGGCCCAGCTGCTCCCTTCGGATGGTCTGGGCGAGCGCCTCGGTCTCTGGAGTCCAGACAGAGAGCTATCAACACCTGACGCTCTGCAATGCCCCCATCCTGTCTAGCCATCTGCCCTACTGCTCGCACCCCATCTGTCTGTCCTGCTGCCCGCACCCCCATCTGTCTGTCCTACTGCCCCCACCCCCATCCGTCTGTCCGTCCTACTGCCCCCACCCCTGTCCGTCTGTCCGTCCGTCCTATTGCCCCCACCCCCGTCTGTCTCTGTCCTATTGCCCCCACCCCCGTCTGTCTGTCCGTCCTACTGCCCCCACCCCCGTCCGTCTGTCCGTCCTACTGCCCCCACCCCTGTCCGTCTGTCCATCCGTCCTACTGCCCCCACCCCCGTCCGTCTCTCTGTCCTGCTTCCTGCACCCCTGTCCGTCTGTCCGTCCTACTGCCCCCACCCCCGTCCGTCTCTCTGTCCTGCTGCCCCCACCCCTGTCCGTCTGTCCTACTGCCCCCACCCCCGTCTGTCTCTGTCCTATTGCCCCCACCCCCGTCTGTCTGTCCGTCCTACTGCCCCCACCCCCGTCTGTCTGTCCGTCCGTCCTACTGCCCCCACCCCCGTCTGTCTGTCCTACTGCCCCCACCCCCCGTCTGTCTCTGTCCTATTGCCCCCACCCCCGTCTGTCTGTCCGTCCTACTGCCCCCCACCCCCGTCCGTCTCTCTGTCCTGCTTCCTGCACCCCTGTCCGTCTGTCCGTCCTACTGCCCCCACCCCCGTCCGTCTCTCTGTCCTGCTGCCCCCACCCCTCTGTCCGTCCGTCCTACTGCCCCCACCCCCCGTCTGTCTCTGTCCTATTGCCCCCACCCCCGTCTGTCTGTCCGTTCTACTGCCCCAGACCCGTCCGTCTCTCTGTCCTGATGCCCGCACCCCCGTCTGCCCGTCACTCACCCCGTCCCTACCACCCCACCCCCGTGTCCGCCGGTCCCACTCACTGCCGGGCTCTGCGCCTCCACTTCCGGGTTCACCATGGCAACGCCGCAGAGGCTGCTGGGAAGGGTAGTCCGGTGCGAGGTCAGTACCCCGCCTCTTTCCCACAGCGCGGTCTCGCCCCTTCCGTTTCCGGTGACGCGACCCCGGCGCCGGAAGCTGCGCTGCTGCTGACTTGGTGTCGCTGCTGCTGGGGGAGCCGGAATGGCGGTGAGGGGGCTGCGGGGCGGCTGGGGACTCCCGCAAAGCGCCGGGGGCGGCGTGAGCCCCCCGGCCCGGCGCCCCTCCCCCGTGGCCTGGCCTGGCCTGAGCCCCCCTCCCGGGCCTGGCCTGAGCCCCCCGGCCCGGCCCGTGGCCCTTCCCGCGTGGCTTGGTCTGAGCCCCCCGCCCGGGCCTGGCCTGAGGACCCCCCCGGCCTGTGGCCCCAGGCAGGCCTGCCTCCCTCCCCTCCGCCCCCACCATGGCTTGGTCTGAGTCCGCCCCCCCGTCCCGGGCTTGGCGCTCGCCCCCCTGCCCTCCTCCGGCCTGGCCTGTACCCCCAGTCCGCCTCTAGCCTCCCCCTCCCGGGCCTGGCCTAGGCTCTCAGTCTCGACACTCCTGAGAGCGAAACAGGAGGGTGTTTCCTTGCGTGAGACCCTCTCTCTGCTCCCCCACGAGGGCTGCACAGCAGAGTGGTGGTGGTGGGGGGTGATTGTAAAACCACAGAAAATGGTGAGGGGATCTCGGGGGTGGATGTAGAACATGATGCTCGTTTACTTAATTGACATGACTTCAGTTGACTGTCTCTTTAGAGCTGTGTAAGGATCCATCAAGGGTAGGGTTATAATAGACAACATGCAGATAGAGGCCTTCAGGAAAGAAAGGGGAGTGGCAGAGATGTAGCCTTGCCTTGTCCAGCCTGTAGACATCAATGACTGACCAACTCTCTCTGAACAGTTCTCCAAACCAGGGTTCCGACTGAACAAGAGAGGTAGAAACTGCTCTCGGGGGATGATATGCTCACCCACATAAGCTGCCCTCCAGAGAAACTGACAACTGTTAGAAGCATATGGCAATATTTGAACTTTGCAAGTCAATTTAGGGTAAACAAAAAATCTACAAAATGCCCAAAGACAAGCAGACTAAACTATGTAGAACCCACACAGCTCTACCTAGAGGGGCCTCGAAAGTGCAGACTGCTGACAAACACAGGAGCAGAAGACACCTGTAGGACTTATGTGCCATTAACAAAAGCCCCAGGATAAATATCGACCACCAGAAAACTACTATGAAAATGACCTGACAGCATAATCCAACCCATCCTGGAATATGGAAGCAAAGCCAGGGGCCTAACCTTAACAGCCAACTACAACAGCTGGGGCAAGAAACCTACAGTCCTACAAGCAAATTATACATGTGTACAAGAACTTGCCCAACGATGGCTGGACAGAACCGAGATTTTATTTTTTTCCTCTTTTGTACCATAGGAAAAGAACACTCAGTTTCTGGTTCTTCCACACTCAAAACAGCTAAATGACTACTCTCTATAATTACTCCAGGCCTCAACAGCACTGCCTTTGGGATCAGTGACAGTGGGTTGTGGAGGGGGTGTAGGCAGGAGGAGCTTTGGAGAAGGGATTGAGATGTGAGCAGAGGGGTGTAAGGAAGTATGTGTTAAAGACTGCACTCTTTTTCTAGCCAAAGGGGAAGGTGGGAACCAAAGGCAAAAAGCAGATTTTTGAAGAGAACAAGGAGACTCTGAAATTCTACCTGCGGATCATCCTTGGTGCTAACGTAAGTGTCTCTCTCCAACAGTTTTCTAGGGCCATGAATGCTTGTCTGCAGCTATTGGCTGGAAAGGTAAATCCCAGCATATTGGGCAGGAAGCCTATTCTATCCCATCCTTTTTTGGGACCTGATCGCCCTAAATCCCATGGGGCCTTAGGGATCAAAGGGTTGGGGGAAATGAAGAAGGGATTCCTTCTCTGGCTGGCAGCTCCATTTCAGTCAGGGCGAATATGAAAAGGGCCATATGGCCTCACGTAACTTCTGCATTTAAGGACTGTAGGGCGAGCAGTGACACACCTTGCTGAGTCCCCAGAGACCTGGGGAAAGAGCTAACACCTCTGTCTCTCAGTGGAGGTGGAATGGTTTTAACTTCCAGGAATGGGTTAGCAGGGAGAGAGCTAACCCAAACCTGGACTGTAGTGAGGGATTGCAGGTTGGGAAGCGTACCTTCTCCCACCCAGCACTCTGAAAGCTTGAGGGTGGGGAAGACTCTTCGGGTTTTTATTTTCTGGGGAGGAGGAGAAATGTACAGCCCCACAGATGACAGTGAACAATCCCCAAAACTCCATATATGTTTTGGCCTATTGTGTGCTGTAAAGGCAAGTGTGGCTAGGAGGTATGAAGGAGCTAAGAACTAGCACCAGGAAAGCAAGGAGCTTTCCTTCGCCTTAAAGCTTTCACCCCTAGTCAGACTAACATTTCTGCTCTGCTGGAGCCAGCTCATAGGCTTGTGGCTTGCCTAGCTCTGAAAACTGTCTGAATCCAGCTTCAGCTTTCTGACGCCAGGGAGCTCTCTGGAGCTTTCATTTTCCAGCATTGTAGGGCACCTTGCCTGCTTCTGCAAGATCTATTGCAAGTGGGGGTGACCCTCTGAGACTCAGGCCATTTTTCATGATAGCATATTGGGAGAAGGCCCAAAGCTGTCCCGTCCTTGATGTGTTCCTTCCCCTCACACTCGTTGATTCTGGCTGCTTGGCTTTATTTCTCTTGTCTTCAGGCCATTTATGCAGTTGTGAACCTGGTGATCTTCTACACAACAGCCTCCTTCTGGACCTGGGTAAGTCAGTGATCTCTGACCCTTCCCTTTTCAGGGTGGAGGAAGCGAGGGGGTAACACCTGGTGGGGTATTTGTTCCATTCTCTCGCCCTTCCTTCTGCTTCTCCCTGGGGCTGTGAGGAATCTTTACTGGATGCTCAAACAGTGAGCCTCAGATCTCCTGTTGGGGTTAGTGTGGAGTTTGGCATTCACTCACACTGTCTTGGGCCTGATGCCTCTTCATTGTTTCCAGGTTGCTCTGATAGGCAGTGCATAAGCCATGTTTCCCTGGACACACAGACACCGTGTGTGGGGTTAAGGGGCTTTTACCCACCTGAGACGAGAACATCTTCACTGATCAGAAATGTCAGTACAAATAATTGCTCTGGGGCTCTGCTCCTGCTGTTTTACCTTGGGACCCTGTGGATTAGTCGCTTTCATGGCTGACCTTTATTTGTTTGTTGCAGGTTGCGTTTGTGTTTAGCATGGTGATCTACAGTGCCAGTTACCGCTCCATGAGCTCCATGGCAAAGGCGTCTTTCACGGACGATGGCAACCTTGCTGACGGGGGAATTGACCTGAATATGGAGCAGGGGATGGCAGAGTGAGTGTCCACACCCACACGAGTCCAGGTGAGCAGGACCTGCTGCCTGAACGCGTACACAGACCCATTTACCCCAGAGAGCATGGGAAGAAGCATAGCAGAGCCTCAGCTCTGAGACCATCCCACAGAGCTCACTTGCTCTCCCCAGTGGGAAACTTCCCTTTCTAATCATTCTTGTCATTTCCCAAGAATCGGTCGAACTGTCCTCATTGCTTGAACATCTAGCTCTGCCTCCAGGAAGTGAGTAACGGGACACCCCAGGAAGTGTGCTGGACTGAGATAATGACTCACCCAGGGCCTTCACTAGGCTGGATGGGCGACAGTACCCAGCTGCTCCGCCAACTCCTCCCTTGCCCTTTGGCTTCTCTCCTGGGGGTTACATTCACTAGCGGAGGACAGCTCTTCCCCTGCCCTTTGGCTGAGGAGAGTGTTTAGGGTGCATAAAATCTTTACCCTCTCCAAGGTTATAGGGTTCTTTTCCTTGGACTGGGTGCCCTAAACACCTACCCAAGAGTTGTTTCCTTAGAACAAAGTGAGACTTATTAAAAATAGAGAAAACGGAATTAAAAGAAAAGCAAGCTTGCTTAACGGACCTGGATTTATACATCTGAGCTAAGCTAGGTAAGGCACCCTCAGCTTGCTTACAGGAAAGACTAGGCAATTAATTGTGTGTGGTCAAGAGCAAGTCCTTGCTCTCTGGCCTGTCCTCAGAGATCCAGCCCCACGCTGTCCAGAGAGAGTCAGTCCCCTCCCTCAATCTACTCTACCTGTTTGTCAAGTCTTTGTTAAAGGTCCTCACCATCCCAGGTGAAGCGTTCTGGTTGTCTGTCTGTCCCTTCCCCAACCCTGCATCTGTCTGCTCTGTTTAGATTGTCAGCTCTCTGGGAGAGGGAGAGGGAGGAGTGTGAGTGTGTTCAGTGCCCAGCTCAATGGGGACCTGTTCTTGGGCCTGGGGTGCTCCCAGGGGGAAGAGAGCCAGGCAGTGAGAGGGGCTGGTGGGGCAGGCAGTCTGCTCCGGGGGTGGGCTGGGTAAGTATCAGTGTGGGGGAGTACACGAAAAGTCTCACTCCTAGGGATGTAAATATCGTTTAAAATGTTAACCAGTTAAACGATTAAAATTATATCATTTAACCAGTTAACTGAGGTGGCTCTGGCATGGCCAGGGACTGGCAGGGCTGGGGGCTGAGGGTTAATGGTTAAGGTCTGTTAACGGTAAGCCTAATGTTAACCGTTTAACCTTTTACCTCCCTAACTCCTTCATGTGCTGCCCTCTACGGTACGGTGGTGAGTCGCCATAGTGGTCTGCCGCGGCGTGTCAGCTGGTGCCAGGACAATCAGAGGGGGTTAACATGCAGGCTTGGGCAGATGGCGCCGTGTTGCTGTATGTTCAGGAGGCCCCCTTCTGATGGACAGGCGAGAAATGGCAATTTTTTAAACCTGGAACTAAAATTCTGTGGAAAACACTGAGGGGAAAAACTGAATTCCACTGGGAGGCCCAGGGTGGCATGCCCTCCCCGAGGGCATGTCTGCAGCATTGAATGTTAAGGGCCCCGCTGACACGTGGGAACCAGGGGCTTAGAACGGCAGAACCATCCCAACCTGACTGCACTGTTGCCATCACAACTCTGTGACTCCTCCTATTGCCCTTCCATTGTGTCTGTTGCTCATGTTGGCAAAGTTGACATTGCAGCTGAACCAAAGATTTTCTCAAACTTTCTGTGCAAGGGAGGACTGAGGCAAGGAGAGGCGGGGGAAGAGGCAGTTGGCTACCACCAGAAAAAGAAACTGCTCGTGTGTTGGTGCAAAGGCCGTTTGCACTATAGCTTCTGGTGCAACCATCCTGGGTATCGCCACAGCACTCAGTTGGTTTCTCCCTTGTCTCCTTACTACTTAATATCTCTCTTACTCTCCTCATTGACTACTTACCTGTGGAAAGCTTGCTGGGGCCTTTGTGTGATGCATGCTGTACAGGGCAGAGCGGCAGTGAAACAACGGAACCACCTGATCGTTTCTGAAATCCTCCTAGTACTATATCCATCCAAACAATTGCCCAGTGATAATGCACCAGGTTACACACATGGCTTGGTGCTTCGCAATACAGCTGTGTGATTGGGAGCGGCAGAGATGATGATTGGCAGGGATGGAGCTTTTACTGGCTTGTTCTAAAAAGTGAAGGTAGATGATTGTATTTGTCCCTTGAATCCACAGCTCATGTAACAGGAAAGATAGAACATATAAGTGTTCTGAGTTACTTTTGCCTGGGCAGCAGAGAGTTCGTACTTGCCTGACACACTGTCCTTCACTGCCTGGAATAATTGTTGTCCAAGATAAATAATAGTGCATGCAAAAATATGCTATTAATGCAGCATAGATGCTCTAAGAAGTCACCAAATGCAAAGTTACGGTTTACTGCTCCACTCTGCCCCCCTTGTGTTTGTGCATTGGAATAGTCTCCAGTGATGTGATCTCAGGGTTTTCCAGTATTTGACTGTGCCCTTTTTTCCAGTAGGGTCAGAACTACGCAGTGTGTTAGGACTAATGTGCCATACTCTCAGCTGTTCAGTTCATGTCAGTTTGCCATTTGAAGCGCTCCAAGAAGCACTGTTACACTTCCCTGTCATCTGACAGTCCTGTCACATTTGACTTTGCCACAGGAAGAAACGCTGACTTTAAACTGCTTTTTGTACAGTACTGATTTGAAATGTATTTCCAGTGTCCCGTCTAACCCCGAAGAGGATTTTGTACGTTCCTTGAGGATGAGAGAGGATGTGGTGTAGGCAGTTGTTACTTGGGAGATCTAGGTTCAGTCCCCATGGACTGTGGTCCTGTTTGCGAGGTGCTCAGGTGGTGTGTGGTCGGGTCCAGACCAGCACCCAGAGAAGCTGTTCCCAAATGCTGGGTAGCTAAGCATACTCCACACAGCGCTGCCCACAGTGAGACGTGCTAATTCTTGCTGGTGCACTGTCTGTGTGCCAGCCTATTGGTTTCTTACTCTAGTACGTGTTGTTTCATGTGAGTGCAGGGGGTTGTGTTTCTCTTCTGTGCACATTACAACAGTCTACATGTGTCTGAGCTGTATAGAAGACAAACGGATCATGCTACTGTGAGAGCTGCAATTGTGTAATCAAAGCTGGTGTTCAGCCCACCCCTGCCAATGGCTCTCTACGTCTGAGTGTTACCTCAATGGTTTTGTGTGTGGAAAAGCAAAGGGGGTGGGGGGGACCTGGCGTGGGGTCAGATGTGTAATGGGCACTTGTCCCTCCAGCTCAGTTTGTGGCCGTTGGGGTATGTTTATCCCTGGGATGCTGCATCGTGTTAGCTCAGCAGCTGTGTATAGAGATGGAGAGTGTATGGGGAGGGGCTAGCTGCTATGGCATGGGATTGTACCATGAAGTTTAACACCTCTCCTAGTCTGCCAGTCCGGGTCCTGTGAGCGAGCAGGCTTCATGCAGAACACAGGCCAAAATTCATACGTAGCCGCCTGTAACGATGTTGATCGTTTTTTCTCCCATTCAGCCAGGCCTGCCCTGCCCCTCCTGTGGGAGCCCGAGGCCCTATTTGAGTCTTCAGTCAACTGTAGTTAATCCAGAGGACACTATTTCTCCGAGGCCCTAACACACAGGTCCCGTGGGCTAAGCCAAAGCCATGGGAATGTCCCTGGCCAAAGGAGAACTGGGAAGGGCTGTAGGGGAGACCAGTAGCTTTGTAGAGGCAGCAGAATTGCAGTGTTAACGACAGGGTTTGCAACTGCAGATGTTCAGTACAGAAAACCAGCCCTGGCCCAGTGCAATTAACCTGTTGCTTTTCCTGTCCCTCTCAGGCACCTCAAGGATGTGATCTTACTGACAGCCATTGTCCAAGTGCTCAGCTGCTTCTCCCTCTATGTCTGGTACTTCTGGCTCTTGGTAAGACTTTTGGGCCTTTCTCCGTATCCCCAGATTCAAACTTTGCCTTGCTCTCCCTTCCAACTCTGCTCCATTTCATAGATTCCAAAGCCAGAAGGACCAAGTCTGCCCACCTGTATAGCACAGGCCAGAGACCTGCCCCAACATAATTCCCAGAGCAGATCTTTTAGAAAAATGGCCAGTCTTGATTTAAAAATTGCCAGGGATGGAGAATTCATCACAGCCCTTGGTAAATTGTCCCAATGTTTAACTACTCTTGCTGTTTACACCTTATTTCCATTTCATTTTTTACCCTCCCTTCCCAGCCTAGAGCTGGTTTTTGGTAAATCACGCAGCCCTCCCCTAATCTTCTCCAGAAGAGAGAATGCCATTTTGCACGGGAATGCTGAGGCCTGATGGGGTTTGGATGCCACCTCTCTGAAAGCCCTTGGACAGTGAGAGGTCCAGAGGGCAATGATAGATGGGGGAGGGGCATTTGGGGCAGAGTCCAAGCTGTCTTGGGATGTGCATTGTGATACTTTACATGTGTGCTGAGCACTCAGCACCCCTGAAAATCAATTTTTATTTTTTTTTTGGACCCTTCTAACTTATCAATGGCTTTAACACCTGGCACAGGCAGACATATATTGAAACAGAACTTCCTGCATAGACTGGTTAAAACCCCCAAACTGGTTATTATGTAGCTTTGTCACCAGTGGGTATGTGTGGCAGAAGCCACCCGTTATAAATGGCTGGCTTACTAAAAGGTAACTCGGAACACTTTCCTTTTTTGGTGGAGCAGCCTGGTGTCTGACCCCTGTATTGGGCATCTTGTCGTGGGGAGTAGACTGAATTGAATAAGCGTTAAAATGGCGTAGCCCATATTCTCTTATTCCTAGGGGCAGTCCTCCGGGAATGGGGGTGAGCCCATTTCTGGGAAGTGGGACCTGGTCTTTGGAGATCTTAGGAACTGAAGCCAAGATTTTCATAAGTAGGCTACAATCATTAGGCCTCAAGTCTATATTTAGGCCCCTAAATAAGTGGGTGGTTCTCAAAAGTGCTGAGCCCCTGCAGCTCCCATTGATTGTAGCACGTATCTAGATCCCCAGCACTAACGTAAATAAAGACCTAGACCAGGTGTCGTGTCCAGTTCTGGATGTAGAATCAGCTTCACCAGAGCTCCGCGTTACCTGGTAGCTGAGCGGCGTCCTACAATAACTGAGTTTGTGGTCTGTTGTGCTTTGTAGGCTCCAGGACGGGCTCTCTACCTCCTGTGGGTGAACATCCTGGGGCCCTGGCTCACGGCCGACTCTTCAGCTGCCACCCAGGAGCCAAATGAGAAGAAGCAACGCCGCCAGGAGCGCCGCCAGATGAAGCGCTTCTAGCTACACAGGTGGGGGTGGATTAGATCTAATCCACCAGCTCCACCTTGTTACCTCATCAGGGATGCGATTTAAACCAATCAGAAACCATCACAGTATCTGTCACCCCTCATCCATCCATTCCACTACAAAGGCTGCCAGAGACTTCCCTTGACTGCGTCTGATGGTCACATCAGGGGCCGCTCCACCATTTGGGGCCTTACTTGACAAGGGGGAGGGAGGTTACAATGGGATATGTGTAAATAGCTTTTTCAAGCAATGGTGTAATGAGTGTGGGGATTGGGAATTACCTTGTTGGAGGAAATATATTAAAGAGGCGAATCTAAGCGCAGGGACTGGTGGCCGATGTTTGCTTCAGGGTCAAACTTTGCAGCAACAACAACAAAATATCACCAGGAGGCAGAGACGAGAGCTGGAAAATGTCATGCCACAAAGTGAACGTTTGACTAAGTTCTAAGCTATGGAGAAAGGGCGTTCAGAATGGAACTGGCTACTCACTGAACTATCACTGACAGGGCTGGGCCCATTCACAAGAGTCCTCCAACACTGCCAGAAATCTGGTGCTCAGATCTCGTGTTCTTGGATGACACCTTCTCACATTTCTTCGCTAGTCCCCCAGTGAGGCCTCCAGCAAAAAGAGGCCTTCCAATGTCACTGACGCTTCCCATGTAAACACGAGTGGAAAAAAATCTTTATTGGGGGGATTAAAATCCTTCTTACAGCTCAGGAATGGACAAGGGCAAAGGCATTTTTACAGGCGCTGTCTAGACAAAGGGAGGGAAGCAACTAAGCAGCTGATTGAGTTCTGGCACAGAGTGTGCTGACCAGAGTGCCTGCTCGTGAGGAAATATTGCACTGTCGGAAGCTTTTCAGGGCATGCAGTCTACTTTTGATTTCTTTAATGCTATCCAGTCCCCGCTCACCGATTAGGGAAGTCAATCCTAGCTGTGTGGTTTCCCCACTGCCCAGGTCCTACAGTGATGAGCACAGTGTAAGAACCGATACAGACGAGAACAGATCCTTCATCCTCTCCTGGAGTGCAGCGCTCCCTTCCACCCTCCCTGACCAATCTGCGGCTGCCTCCTAGGGTTTTAACATATGATCTGCAGACTTCACAGTCCTCTCAGTGATTCCTATAGAAACATTTCTGTTCTCCATCTTGGATTTGGGCTGTTTAAATATAACATCATCCTTCCTTTCCCCAGCCCTCCCTCCACAACAGCGTGTATAAAAAACAACCCCCAAAGCACCTCTGGTGCTAGTTTCCTCCCGTGGCATTGCATGCATCTTAGCTATTGTCCCCTCCCCCCACCCTCACCGCTGCATGTCCTACTGCAGGAATCCACACACAACCAGCTCTCCCTTTGCAGGACCCACTTCTGAATGGATGGGAGGAAGCTTCCTCCAAGTGAGGACTGACCTGCTGAACAGTCACAAAATGAATAATAAATACACAGACCCCATGGCACCCTGAATGCTTTGGACGGCTGCAGTCAGACACGCACACAAGACAACTCCCTTTTGTGCGCAAGGCTTCCTGGCACAAAAGGCAGTGTGGCTTGGGAAGTGGGACTCTGCCACAGGGGCAGGTAGGTCAGGACCCTGCAGACCAGGTCAGTCTGGCAGCAACTGCTCTAGCTCTTCCTCATTCAGTCTGTTGGTGGCGATGATGTGGTCAAGCTGCTGTCTGTACCGTTCCATGTCCTGCATGAAATGGGGGATTCGCGCCTTCTCTAGAACACCGAATTCCTTCAGCTGATTCACATCTTCATAGGAGACCTGATGGAAAGAAAACAGATGTTTCAGGCCCTCAGGCCAGCCACCCAAGGGGATCTCTGCACACCCGCAGATTCACTCACCTTCTGCTCTATTGTGGGAGGGCTGCTAATTGTTAACTACACTAGCCCGGGCCTTACTGATAGGGCACCGCATGGTAGCAAGAATGGATGGAACGTTCCCAGGAATTCCAGGCACCTGAGCTACATGGTCACTCTCCAGCCAGGAGGGATGGGCTATGAACCACCAGCTCCAGACTCTCTGGTCTAGGGCGATGTGAAGGGGTCATGGAGATGCTTCCAACAGATACTTGTTTCTCACTGCAGTGCATGAGACAACGAGCTGTTGCCCCTTGGCTCAGCAGGTGCAGATATTTGGGTCTGGCAGGTCAGTTTCCCATTTGGAGCAGAAATTGCTGATATGGAGGCAGGTGAGACAGAGCATAGGCAACCCCCTCTAGCAGACACCTTCTCTCAGGTCCCACAAACCGGCTCATCTGGACTGACAGGAACTTTGCTTGAGCCCTTGAACTTGCACCTGGTGGGGGCTGCAGTGAGGGCAAGGTACAGGGTGGGATGGCACTGCCTTACTCAGCCATAGAACAAACCGACGTAAGCACATCCTTATCCCTGTGACAGGGACCAGAGCACCTACTGTAGGCCTAAATTAGCAAATGTATCGAAATAAGCCAAGCAGCAAGAAACTGGGGTCAGGCCAGAGCTTCTGAAATACACATTAGTCTCTGAATGCCCAGGCCAAGCCAAACCAAAGAAGGACTGAGAGAGTCTCTCAGGTGTGGTGACTTTCTTGGGAGACTCCCCAAGTAGGCTGGTTAATTTGCTGGGTTTTGTCACCTCACACTGATGGTATCTATCTTTGTGATCAGGAAAAATGCAGGCCCAGGGTAGCAAGTGCCACCTGTGTCTAAAAGCTCTTCTGTGTGGCACAGATATGGGAGCTCAACACGACTGGTTCCACCGGGCTGAGAACCAATGCTGACATGGCCAGGCTTGAGCTATCAAAATTAGCACGGGGTGAGCCTGTCTGAAGCTGCTCAAATCTCAGCATCATATGGAGGGGGAAGGGGACTGTATAGAGAAGTTTCCCTGTCCAGGAGAGTAGAAAGGTGTCTGACAAAGCACCTGGGCTGCAGCCTGCTCTGGAACAGAACTGCTGACACTTCCTGTTCCCTCAGGTGGTGGACAGGTCTATTGCTGGCATTTCCCACATCCAGAAAATGGTCTCCGCGATGGTGAGTCCGAGGGACCGTTTGTGATCTCTGCTGAGATGGTTCACTAGACATTTCTGGGAGCTGGGAGGAGGATGCTTTAAGCATTAGTCCATTCTTGATGCAGAAAGCCCACAGGTTCATTGGACAGGCACCTCTCTGCTTGTTTAACCAGACCGTCGCAGCAGTGTTCTCCATGAGCACTTGCGCAGAACAACCTTTGATGTGAGGCAGATACGCTTGACAGGCCAGGTGAATAGCTGAAAGCTCTCAAACACTGATGGTGGAGAGAGAGATCCTGAGCTGACCAGAGACCCTGAGTCTGACCTCCCTGGCCAATAGATGAAGCGTCTGTGATTAGGGTCACTGAGGGCAGGGTTGGGGAAAAGGGAACCCGTTGTATACACTGGCAAGGTCCAGCCACCAGTCCAGGGATGACAAGACACTTGCATGTACGTGAGTCAGCATGTCCTGTGGATGCCGAGTGGGACAGCAGGCAGACTTCAACCACCTCTGCAGGACTCTGCGGAGAAGTCTGGCATGCTGAGCCACATACATGCAAGCTGTCACGTGACCTAGAAGTCTCAGGGAACTCCTCACTGTCATATGAGCATACACTTTGCAGTCTTTGTATGAGTCCGATACTATCTGAAACCTGGCCTGAGGTACAGAGGCGCTCGGTGTGATCTGCTCAAGAGACACTCCTGTGAATTCAACTCTCTGTACAGGGAGAAAAGAGTTACTGTGACACTGAGACATATTGGTGCCAGCCAGCAAAGGGGTCACTGTCCTTTAGAAGCAATGCCTGTCTCAGACCTGACAAACTCACTATGCCTAATACACTGCTTTCAAGGTATTTATTAAAGAAGGGCAGCTTATGAGGTCTCTGCTGAAAACTTGTAACTTATCAATCCTCAATCATTGCAAGATATGTGCACTGGTTTTACTTAAGGGATAATGTAACTAGATTGAAAATTAGGCCCTTATGGGTCTTGAGGAAAGTGAGTCAACTGGGAATAATGTGCCTTGGTGACAGCTCATTAAAGTGGGAAGGGGTTGCCACCCCCCTTGCTGGCTAGCCGATTACATAATGTATAGTGCTGTTGTCCACCATTGCAGCAGCCCAAACAGTCAGTGGCAAACCATCAAAGATAAACTATAAGCCCACTGAAGTGAGATGGGATGCTATGGCAGCGAAGAGATGGCCCTCCGCGTAAAGGCAAAGGACTGATTCAGTGTCTCACGGGGTGGAGAAAGACACGCTGCAGCATCCAGCCACTGAGAAAGAATCTGGCTGAGTGGGGATGCTGCATGGAAGATGCTGTCCTAGCTCCTGGGGACTAGCAAATGCTGCAAAAGACTGAAATTTCAGGAGAGAATCTACTTGATTGCCTAGAAAAGGTAACTAGTAATAAGTGTCAGCCCTAGTTTGTGTTTTATGGTTGTTTTATATGTAACCATTTTTTTCCATCGCTCACACTTGTTTCCATTCTCTCTCAAATAAATTTCTTCATAGAAATTCAGGACAGGAAGGGACCTGGATAGATCATCTAGTCCAGTCCCCTGCACTGAGGCAGGACTAAATATTATCTAGGCATCCCTGGCAGGTGTTTGGCTAACCTGTTCTTAAAAACCTCTGACAACAGAGATTCCACAACCTCCTTAGGTTATCTGTTCCAGTGCTTAGCTACCCTTAAGTTAGGAAGTATTTCCTAATGTCCAACCTAAATCTCCCTTACTGCAGTTCAAGTCCATTGCTTTTTGTCCTGTCCTCGGTGGTTAAGAACAATTTTTCACCCTCCTCTTTATAACAACCTTCTACGTACTTGAAGACTGTTATCATTCCCACCCTTCCCCCAGTTTTCTCTTCTCCAGACTAAACAAACACAGTTTTTTCAAAGTCTTTCCTCACAGGTCATGTTTTCTAGACTGTTCATTATTTTTGTGGCTCTCCTCTGGACTTTCTCCAATTTGTCCACATCTTTCCCGAAGTCTGGTGCCCAGATTTGGACACAGTACTCCATTTGAAGCCTTACCAGTGTAGAATAGAGTGGAAGAATTACTTTTTGTGTCTTGCTGAACAACACTCCTGCTAATACATCCCAGAATGATGTTCACATTTTTCTAACATCGTTGACTCATATTTAGTTTGTGATCCACTATAACCCCCTCATCCCTTTCTGCAGTAATTTCCTATTTGGTATTTGTGCTAAATTCCATAATTCAAGAACAGGGTTAATGACCAAAACTGGGTTTTTCATGTTAATCTCCTGAGTATTTACATTAATCAAATAGCAAAGTTTATGATTATGTCCCTGAGACCAAGGGGAAGAACCCTAGTTATCGCACTGGCTGGGGGTGTAAAAACACCATATAAATAATCCATAAACCATGGCCCATCCTGCAGCGAACTGTTTCCATGTACTGATTTCACACCAGGAAGCAGGTTCTGTCCGTCACTCCAGGCTGTTACCTTGCCCAGTTCTGCCAGCAACCGGAAGTCAATAGTCTGCCGATGCCTCAGGATCCGGAGAATTCCATCCAGATACACTTGATCCTTACTGAAACAGCCTGGAAGAGAGTAAGGAGGAGAAGTGCTAGCTGCTGTGGACCTAATTTTCATCCCACCCTGGTGCAAATCAACGGCATTTCAACAGACGTCAGCTGGGGTGTGACTGCACTTGGAGGGGTGGGGTGCAGTGCCCAGCTCACACAGATGTACCGTGCTGGCTCTCATCAGCTAAAAGGATCATAGTGCAGCTGCAGCAGCACGGCAGTGGCAAGGGCTGGCTGCCCCAAGTACAAACCCGTCCAGGCCCCCTGGGTATGTACATGGGGCAGCCAGTGCACTGCAGCTACACTGCTACTTGTAACGTGCTGGCTCGATGAGCACTACCGTGGGTATGTCTACACAAGCTCAGCATTGCAGCTCCAGCTCCAAGTGTACACATTCCTTAGAGTTAGACTAGGAAAGAACTGGTGTAAGTGAATCATACAACCTCAGGGTTGGAAGGGACCTCAGGAGGTCGTCTAGTCCCACCCCCTGCTCAAAGCAGGACCAATCCCCAACTAAATCATCCCAGCCAGGGCTTTGTCAAGCCTGACCTTAAAAACCTCTTAAGGAAGGTGTCAAGGTTCCTTCCCCACTCTGAACTCTAGGGTACAGATGTGGGGACCTGCATGAAAACCTCCTAAGCTTACTTTTACCAGCTTAGGTTAAAACTTCCCCAAGGTACAAACTATTTTACCCTTTGCCCTTGGACTTTCGCTGCCACCACCAAACATTTAACTGGTTATTGGGAAAGAGTTGTTTGGAAACATCTTTCCCCCCCAAATCCTCCCAACCCTTGCACCCCACTTCCTGGGGAAGGCTTGATAAAAATCCTCACCAATCTGCATAGGTGACCACAGACCCAAACCCTTGGATCTTAAGAACAATGAAAAAGAAATCAGTTTCTTAAAAGAAGAATTTTAATAGAAGAAAAAGTTAAAAAAAAATCACCTCTGTAAAATCAGGATGGTAAATACCTTACAGGGTAATTAGATTCAAAACATAGAGAATTCCTCTAGGCAAAACCTTAAGTTATAAAAAGACACAAAAACAGGAATATCCATTCCATTCAGCACAGCTTATTTCCTCAGCCATTTAAAGAAATCATAATCTAACGCATATCTAGCTAGATCTCTTACTAAGTTCTAAGACTACATTCCTGTCTGTTCCCGGCAAATGCATCACACAGACAGACCCACACCCTTTGTTTCTCCCCCCTCCAGCTTTGAAAGTACCTTGTCTCCTCATTAGTCACTGTGGTCAGGTGCCAGTGAGGTTATCCTAGCTTCTTAACCCTTTACAGGTGAAAGGGTTTTTCCTCTGGCCAGGAGGGATTTTAAAGGTGTTTACCCTTCCCTTTATATTTATGACAGAAGGAGATTCCACCACCTCCGTAGGTAACCTATTCCAGTGCCAGTTGTGACCATGGCATCATAGAACATCAGGGTTGGAAGGGACCTCAGGAGGTCATCTAGTCCAACCCCCTGCTCAAAGCAGGACCAATCCCCAACTAAATCATCCCAGCCAGGGCTTTCTCAAGCCTGACCTTAAAAAACTTCTAAGGAAGGAGATTCCACCACCTCCCTAGGTAACGCATTCCAGTGTGTCACCACCCTCCTAGTGAAAAAGTTTTTCCTAATATCCAACCTAAACCTCCCCCACTGCAACTTGAGACCATTACTCCTTGTTCTGTCATCTGCTACCACTGAGAACGGTCTAGATCCATCCTCTTTGGAACCCCCTTGCAGGTAGTTGAAAGCAGCTATCAAATCCCCCCTCATTCTTCTCTTCCGCAGACTAAACAATCCCAGTTCCCTCAGCCTCTCCTCATAAGTCATGTGTTCCAGTTCCCGTATCATTTTTGTTGCCCTCTGGTGGACGCTTTCCAATTTTTCCACATCCTTCTTGTAGTGTGGGACCCAAAACTGGACACAGTACTCCAGATGAGGCCTCACCAATGTCGAACAGAGGGGAACGATCACGTCCCTCGATCTGCTGGCAATGCCCCTACTTATACGTCCCAAAATGCCATTGGCCTTCTTGGCAACAATGGCAAACTGTTGACTCATATACAGCTTCTCGTTCACTGTAACCCCTAGGTCCTTTTCTGCAGAACTGCTGCTGAGCCAGTCGGTCCCTAGTCTGTAGCGGCTCATGGGATTCTTCTGTCCTAAGTGCAGGACTCTGCACTTGTCCTTGTTGAACCTCATCAGATTTCTTTTGGCCCAATCCTCTCATTTGTCTAGGGCCCTCTGTATCCTATCTCTACCATCCAGCATATCTACCTCTCCTCCCAGTTTAGTGTCATCTGCAAACTTGCTGAGGGTGCAGTCCACGCCATCCTCCAGATCATTAATGAAAATATTGAACAAAATCGGCCCCAGGACCGACCCTTGGGGCACTCCACTTGATACTGGCAATTAGACATGGAGCCATTGATCACTATGAGGTCAGAAGCAAGTGAGGTCAGAAGCAAGTCCAACGGGCCCAGGTCAGTACTAGGACCAGCGGTCTCCAATATATTTATTACTGACCTGGAAAAGGAGTGAAGAGTGAGGTAATGAAATCTGCTTAGGAGAAAATTAAAGCTATCACTGTAAACTATAAGGGGTTTCCTGGTCCTGCTTGCAGGTTAGGGGGCTCTGAGAGAAGCTACATGATCTGGTTTCTTCAGTCCAGTGGTTCTCAACTTGTGGTTCAGGGACCCCTAGGGGTCTGCAGACTATGGCTAAGATTTCCAAAGGGGTCCGCACCTCCATTTGAAATTTTTAGGGGTCTACAAATGAAAAAAGGTTGAAAACCACTGTTCTAGACTCTCCTTTATGTCCTTTATACTCCAGCTCAGGTTTCTGTGGACAACACAAGCTTAAGCATGGTAAATGTTGTTTTTCCCACCAACGTTAGGAAAACAGCCCTCTGTTTATCAGTATCTTCTATAGCATACGCGTAAAAATACTGTTCAAGTCTCTGAATGTATGTTGCAAAATCTTCCTCCCCCCCCCATTAAACTGGAAACTCTCCATATTGCAGTAGGTAGCCATTTTATCTCTACTCTTCATTGTCCTCTTTTATTTTTCTTTCCTAAAGAAGCCGTCCCAGCTTTCTCTGTTATGTTCACAGCACACACACAAAAGTAGAAGAAAAACAGAAATACTCTTTCTGCAGGCTGCCATGTAATGCTACTTCATTTCTTAGGCTATGTCTACACTTCGAGCTGGGGTGTAGCTTGATGAGAGACAGGGTGCTAAAAACAGAGCGTAGCTGTAGCAGCGTGAGCTGCAGGATGGACCAGCCACCTTTAAGTATGTACCTGTCTGAAAGTCTAGGCACATACTCAGGATGCCTAGCTCATGACTACACTTGATTTTTAGTGTGCTCGCTGGGTGTGCGCTACCATGAGCATATCTCCTTGAGCTGGGACTCACCCCCCTAGCTGCATGTGTAGATGTACCCGTAGAGTCCAGATCTCAAACCCAAAACAATAAAAAAAAAAAACAGAGAGAGACAAAGCAGGCTGCTCCCTAAGACAGCGAGAGGCCCAACTCACCTCACTTCGCTCTAGGCTGGCTCTCCACAGACTGACTGCTGCTATGCCCAGATCACACACTTCCCTACCGAGCCCCCTAGCCTGCAAGCAGGAGCAGGAAACCCGTTATAATTGAAAGTGGTAGTGCTGGTAATGGTAACACAGTTTTCAATACCCCCCAGGTGACACACTAGCAGAGGACTCTTTAATCTAGCAAATAAAGTCAGAACAAAATCCAAGGGCTGGCAGTTGAAACTAGATGAGGGGTAATTAACCATTGAAAACACTGACACAGAGGCATGGTGGATTCACTGTCACCTGGAGTCTTTAAACAAAGACAGGGGCAGCTGCTCAAATGTATTCCAGTGCCTAGCTCCCAGTAAAACCAATGGGAGTCAAGTGCCTCAGTCCCTCTGAGTGATGGGTCTGCTACAGGGATCCCTGGTGACATTCTCCAGCTGTGTATGCAGGAGGGCAGAAGGGATGGTCACAGTGACCCCTCCTGGCCCTAAAATCTATAAATCTATGAAAAGCATGAGCAGCAGCAGCGCTCTTTGTAATCGTAGTATTTCAACGACTGTCTACAAGGGTTCTGGGTGTTAAGTGTCAGTATTTGTCTGACAAGTGGACTGGGTGGTTCCTCGGTCTGTGACAATGATTGGGAGCTGTTACAATCACCCACGTTCAGGGCTCCGGTTACCGTAGTGCTGCCTTGGACTCTGTGTAACGCTTCTTGAAAAGCCCTGGAGAGACCCAACTCTGCAAGTGCTTCAGCAAAAAGCGAGGCTGAGGTGCCGGCATGGGGGTGTCAGAGGAGTTGTACACAGAGGGTCCATATCCCACATTACATCTAGTCAGTTTCACTGTTACCCCTCTGCAGTCAGCCAGTTTCTCCTCTGGCTCATGTGGGTCTCTCACACAGCCAAATGACAGGGGCGGAATGGCTGGGCTAGGACCTGAGGCTACTTTTTAAACTCATTTTTGCACAGGTCTTAAAGGGATAGTGTCACCTCCAAAGCTAGTCAGAGCAACACAAGAAAGGGAGAACTCTTCAGAGAAGACACCCGCCACCAGGGTGCCCCCTTCAACAGCCATGTGAGCTCAGGTTAGAAAGGAGCTGCTGGCAGGGGCCACCACGGACTCAACCAGCCAGAGCAGGGCCCAGCTGTGACACCATGGCCTTGTACAGTTCTCATTCTGGACCCTGTGCTGATGGGTGTCCACACCATCCCCCTCCTGCCACCTGTTCTCTATGCTCACCCTCCCTTTCCTGCCAATCCCCACCTAAAACAGCAAATCCCCAGCTTGCGGTACTGAGCTGCCATTTGCGGCCCCCACATTGCTCGCTCTGCTGGCGTGGTCCAGTCCTGCACACACACAGCAAGAGATCCTCCATGCTCTGATGAGACACGCTGGAACATAGGGGAGGAGAACAGAGATTCACCCCTGGGCAGTAGCAGAGCTAGGAACAGACCCCAGGTCTCCAGCCTCCCAGCCCAGTGTCTTAACCACCAAGTCCCGTTCCCACCCATGGGCCTGGCTCTGCAGTGGAGCTATCTCCCACCTGGCTGTGAGGTGTCAGTCTGGCCTCGTTTTGCCCGCACGCAGTAGTCCCACCGGACTCTGGCATCTTGGACGTACTGCTCCAAGTGCTGGAAGAGCACGCTGAAGGACATATGACGGGCCTGGTGGACGGTGTAGTACAGCAGTGCTGCCCGCCACAGAAAGGGCTGCTTACGGAAGAGGACGCTATGCAGACTAGCCAGGCCTTCTTCTGTGGGGTTAGCAGGCTTCAGGCCATACTGCTTACGGCCCTCCATGCTGTGCCAAGGCTGGCGGGCATTATTCACCCCACGGATGTAATGAGTGCCTAGAGAAGACAAGGGAGAGAAATTAGTCAGCCTCAACCCATGTCTCATGCACCCTGTGCAAAGCCCCTGGGCAATGGGGCTAGGAAATCAGGAGCACTGGGGGTAAATCGTTCCCCACATTGATAAGGGATATGGCAAACTCCCCCTACCCCACAGCTACTCTTTCAGCAGATAAAAGTCTAACAAAAGCGTGTCTCTCTCACCAACAGAAGTTGGTCCAGTAGAAGGCATTACCTCACCCATCTCGTCTCTCTGACAAAACCTCTGACATTTGATCTTCCCCTTCAGAGCTCAGGAGCACAGCAGCTACTAACTGTGCTCTAGGACTGGTGGCAGGAGGGCTGGAATAATACTCCATTAATCCTTTGATATCTAAGCTGTCCCCCAGGGCCAGATGGCTTCACTGCTGAGTTTAACAAACTTTTACAAAATCTAAGCTCCATGGTGCAATAAGCAGAAATTAACAACCCTCCCTCAGGCCTCTCTCTAGAGCAGTGGTTCTCAATCAGAGATCTGGGACCCTCTGGGGGGGCAGTGAGCAGGTTTCAGGGGGATCCACCAAGCAGGGCCAGTGTTAGACTTGCTGGGGCCCAGGGCAGAAAGCTGAAGCACCACTGTGCAGGGCTGAAGCCAGGAGCCCTGAGCCATGCCACCTGGAGCTGAAGCCTGAGGAACATAGCTCTGCAGGGTCCCCTGTGGTTTGGGGCCCTGCTTGCTACCCTCTAACGTTGGCTCTGGCTTTTATAAGGCATTGGTGGGCTGTGGAGTTTTTATAGCATTTTGGGGGGACCTCAGAAGGAAAAAGGTTGAGAACCCCTGCTCTAGAGCCCCCCACCCCCACTTGCACTTGGGACTCCTTGATCGTCAGGCTTCTCCTTGCCACCTCCCCTCCTGCCCCTGACAAAGCACCTCCTGGGAGGGGACACCTTTGTCTGGACCCTTCTGGCTGAGAGCTCTGAAAGGTCTTTTAGCGGGCACTGAATGAATCAGCGTCCTGTGGAAAAAGTAGCATGTGACCCTGTAATTAAAGCCTGTATCCTAATGCATACGCACAAAGAGACCGAAGGGAGGTTGGGGGGGAGCCCTAATTCTGGTGCTTCTGAACTTTTGAGAGCTTGATTTTGCAACCCTAGCTGGATGTGTGTACCTATAGCGGCAGCGCTCCTGCCCTGCCCTGCCCTAATACCTTTTCAACTCATTCCAGCACGCACGCTAACCCTCCCGAGCCGCAATGGGCACGGCAGAGGGTGCTTCGGCTCTTCCAGCCACCAGTGCCATGTGTTCAGTGCCACGTGGGCGGGAGGGCTCCCGCTCCCCAATGGACAGGGCTTCAAAGAGGGCTCTGTGCTTGCTGCCAAGGGGCAATTCCCCCATGGGGATCACAGAGGCCTTCAAAGAAGAAAGGGCCATTTTGCAATGAAAAAAATGTCCACTGTGAAAAATTCCAAGCAGTTTTTCTTGGCGTCCCATCCCTGCCTGCTGCCCTAAACAACCCCCTCTGTGCCTCCCTCCATCGGCATTCTCCATGTAGTGCCGAGTCCTCACCCCCACCGTTGTGCAGAGCCAGCTCCAAGCGGTCCTGGCATTGGAGCCGACCAGGCTCTGCAGCTCCTCACCACCTCTGGCTCTTCTCCTCCCTCCCTCCTATCAGCAGTAGCTTGGAGAGGTTGAGGTGCTCCCAGGTCAGGGTGTTATTTCCAGTGTGGTTACCCCAGAGGTCAATAGAGAAGGACGGCTGCCTCCTGGCTCTGTGACATGATGGGCTCCAGCCTCCTTCTTCCCACCCCACCCCGCAAAGGCCATGCAACATGCTGATCCATTTTATTCCCTTTCAACAGCAGGAGCGTTAGTTCCTGGTGAGTCCCTGCGTGGCTCAACATCCCCGGCGCCCCGCATGGCCCATGCCTCCAACCCAGCTCTGACCTATTTCATGGCGCAGCATGCCCTCCAGCCAGTATTGCCGGGCTCCGGACAGGTTGATTGCCAGGGTGGGCCGGCTGTTCTCCACCATCATCACGGCTTGGGACAGCAGGTCCTCAGTCAGATGAACGACCACCTGGGGGCAGATGGAGAATGAGAGTCAGGATGATCATGTTAGTGATCAATGGCTCCGTGTCTAGTTGGCAGCCGGTATCAAGTGGAGTGCCCCAAGGGTCGGTCCTCGGGCTGGTTTTGTTCAATATCTTCATAAATGATCTGGAGGATGGTGTGGATTACACCCTCAGCAAGTCTGCAGATGACACTAAACTATGAGGAGAGGTAGATACGCTGGAGAGTAGGGATAGGATACAGAGGGCCCTAGACAAATGAGAGGATTGGGCCAAAAGAAATCTGATGAGGTTCAACAAGGACAAGTGCAGAGTCCTGCACTTAGGACGGAAGAATCCCATGCACCGCTACAGACTAGGGACCAACTGGCTCAGCAGCAGTTCTGCAGAAAAGGACCTAGGGGTTACAGTGAATGAGAAGTTGGATATGAGTCAACAGTGTGCCCTTGTTGCCAAGAAGGCCAATGGCATTTTGGGATGTATAAGTAGGGGCATTGCCAGCAGATCGAGGGACGTGATCGTTCCCCTCTATTCGACATTGGTGAGGCCTCATCTGGAGTACTGTGTCCAGTTTTGGGTCCCACACTACAAGAAGGATGTGGAAAAATTGGAAAGCGTCCACCAGAGGGCAACAAAAATGATACGGGAACTGGAACACATGACTTATGAGGAGAGGCTGAGGGAACTGGGATTGTTTAGTCTGCGGAAGAGAAGAATGAGGGGGGATTTGATAGCTGCTTTCAACTACCTGCAAGGGGGTTCCAAAGAGGATGGATCTAGACTGTTCTCAGTGGTAGCAGATGACAGAACAAGGAGTAATGGTCTCAAGTTGCAGTGGGGGAGGTTTAGGTTGGATATTAGGAAAAACTTTTTCACTTGGAGGGTGGTGAAACACTGGAATGCCTAGGGAGGTGGTGGAATCTCCTTCCTTAGAAGTATTTAAGGTCAGGCTTGTGAAAGCCCTGGCTGGGATGATTTAGTTGGGGATTGGTCCTGCTTTGAGCAGGGGGTTGGACTAGATGACCTCCTGAGGTCCCTTCCAACCCTGATGTTCTATGATGGCATGGTCATACTGGCAGCCCCATGCACACCTTTATGATACTGTGCACTCCCAGGAGGACTATCAAAATTTAAGTGGGCCATTATAAGACAAAAGCTTTGTTAACTGCTCAGTCCACTCATGCTGGCCTTGTCCCATGGTTTTGAATGCTGGGAGAGGGAAACAGAAATAGGTGATGGGGAGATTTTTCATCTCTTCACTGTTTGAACTCTCACAGAGCCAGAGAAGCCAAACTGAAGCCAGAGATCCCCAGGGGCTACCTCCTGGGTCTGCCCTGAAAGACACTTTGAATTGACAGATCACTACAACTCTGTCACTCTCAGAATCTAGATGATAACTCATTTCTGTGTGTTGTTTGCTTGCTTTAACCTGTAAGTACTCTCATTTCTTTTTTCCTAGTTAATAAACTTTTAGATAGTTTATTACAGGATTGGGACAGGCATTGTCTTTGGTGTAAGATCTAGGTACCAATTTATCTGGGGTAAGTGACTGGTCTCTTGGGACTGGAAGCAGCCTGAATGTGGTGTAATTTTGGGTGTAAGTGACCATTTATCACTAAGTTCAGTTTGTCGGGGTGGCAAAATAGACTGGAGAGTCTCACGGGACTGTCCGTGCCCCCATGGGAAGACTGGTTTGGTGATCCAGGAGTTCACATTTGGTACTGGGTTGGTGAAATCTAATTATAGAACATACCATCAGTTTGGGGTGTAATTAGACAGTCTGCCTTGAGGCAGTGTGACAACTTCTTCTTGGAGCAGTTAGTCCTGGAACCCACAAGGGGAGAGGCAATTCTTGATTTAGTCCTGAGTGGCACAGAATCTGGTCCGAGAGGTGAACATAGCTGGAACCGCTCAGTAATAGCAACCACAATGTAATTAAATTTAACAATCTTGTAGGGAGGAAAATACCAAAGAAACCCTCCACAGTAGCATTTAACTTCAAAAAGGGGGACTATACAAAAACGAAGAGTCTAGTTAAATGGAAATTAAAAGGAACAGTCACAAGAGTGAAATCCTTGCAAGCTGCATGGAAACTTTAAAAACACCATAACAGAAGCTCAAATTATATGTATAGCCCAAATAAAAACAAAACAGTAACAGGACCAAAAAATCTTCACCACTAAACAATAGAGTAAAAGAGGCAATTAGGGACAAAAAGGCATCCTTTCAAAATTGGAAGTCAAATCTTACTGAGGTAAATAGAAAGGAACATAAACTCTGGAAAGTCAAGTGTAGGTATAACTAGGCAGGCCAAAAACAGAATTTGAAGAGCAACTAGCAAAAGACACAAAAACTAACAGAAATTTTTCAAGTACATCAGAAGCAGAAAGCCTACCAAACAATCCATAGGGTTTGGATTGAGGTGGATGATTGAGGTGCTAAAGGGGCACTCAAAGAAGACAAGGCCATTGCAGAGAAGCTAAATGAATTCTTTACATCACTCTTCATAGCAGAGGGTGTGCGGGAGATTCCCACAATTGAGCCAGTCTTTTCAGGTGACAAATCTGAGGAACTGTCCCAGACTGAGGCATCAATAGAGAGGTTTGGGGATAAATTAAACAGTAATAAATCACCAGGATCAGATTAAACTAGCTAGAGACATAAAGAGTAACAAGAAAACATTCTACAGACACATTAGAAGCAAGAGGAAGATCAAGGACAGAGCAGGCCCATTATTCAATGAGAGGGGAAAGACAATAACAGAAAATGTGGAAATGGCGGAAAAGCTAAACAACTTGTTTGTTTCAGTTTTCACCAAAAAGGTTAGTAGCGATTGGACGTCTAACATAGTGAACGCCAGTGAAAGTATGGTAGGAGCTGAGGCTAAATTAGGGAAAGAACAAGTTAAAAAAATTACTGAGATAAGTTAGATGTCTTCAAATCAGTAGGGCCTGATGAAATACATCTTTGAATACTCAAGGAGCTAACTGAGGAGATATCTGAGCCAGCCACAGATTATCTTCAAAAACTCATGGAAGACAGGCAAGATTCCAGGGGACTGGAAGAGGGCAAATATAGTGCTAATCTATAAAAAGGGGAATAAGGACAACCCAGGGAATTACAGACCAGTCAGCTTAACTTCAGTCCGGAATGATAATGGAGCAGATAATCAAGCAATCAGTTTGCAAATACCTAGAAGACAATAAGGTGATAAGTAACAGTCAGCATGGATTTGTCAAGAACAAATCACATCAAAGCAAACTAAGAACTTTCTTTGACAAAGTGACAAGCTTTATGGATGGGGGAAGGGGGGGGGGGGGAGGAGAGCAGTAGAACTGGCCACCAGTTCTCACTCAAGTTTTGCCAGTGGGGTTTGAATTCACAGTGGAATTCTGAAAGCTGGCATGGATTCTGGTATCACTACATGGAAACCCCGCATTATAGTCCCTCTGCTGAATTCTCTTTTTGAGCTGCTTCTAGCTTACATCATTCTTCACTGACAAAAGTCAAATCACCTGCTAGGATCAGAGTTCTCTCTTGTAAGACCAAATCTTTCGGTCTTTGTTTTGCGGTGAGGAAGAGAGCTGTACCCTGGTAGACTGCAGTCTAGGTCCAAGTGCCCTGGACTTAGCTGCGTTACCTCAGGCAGCTCCCTTCCCCTCTCTGCTGTGCCTCAGGTTTCCACTCTGCAAATGGAGGTGATGACAAATCTATAAAGTACTCTGGGAGTTGGTGATGAAGTTTGCTGTGTGTCATAAGGAGAAAGTGTCATTCAGTCTTTGCAGCAACAGGAACAGAATCTCCACAAAGGAAATTCTGAGACTGGGATGTGGGTCCTTCTAATTGTTAATGGCAGAAGTGCTTTTGTAGTTTTCAGGCGGCTTGTATCAGGTGGCACAGTGATAAGATGTTAGCTTCAGAACACATCTCTGTCATTCAGAAGCTGCTAAAGCTGGCCACCCCATTTTGGACTCAAGAATTGTAACCAGTGATTCTGTGTCTGTGATTCAGTAGGAGAGAAATTCTACTTTAAACTCCTGGAATTTCTTCACTCCAAACAGAACGCCGTGTTACATCTGAGCACATTTTTTTACCTGCTTGATTTGAGGTTCTGAAAGTGCCTGGCTGGCCTTTTGGTCCCATCTGCCATTTGTGACCAACCCCACTTCTCCCCATAGGTGAGGCTCCACTGGAGTTCCACCTTGACATCAAACTCTACCAGCATCTTCAAAGAAATGAGGATATTGGTCTGCCTCAAATGTCTTGTGACATTCTTCACTCTTATCCGTTCTGAACAACCATAGTGCTGGGTTTTGGTTTGTGGGATTTTTACTGTAGACAGGACAGAAGTTTTCCAGTTAATGAAGTAACCCAGGCTCACTAGGATCTCAACAGTGTCTTGTGACATTCTTAGTAACTCTGTTTTCTCTGGTAGAGGCTAATCTCTATGACGCACTTGTGAGAAAACCCTCCTTTCCCAGGGACACAGACCCTTCAAACCACTGCAGGTACTAGGTCTCTCAAATGAGCTGCCTCATTTACACCTGTAATAAGTATTTCATCCAGGCAGCCGCCAGGACTCCGTCACACTGGGTCCTTTCTGTGCAAAACCACAGCCAGCAGGTTGGCCGCCTGTTATAATGGCCAATCCATTATGAGAATGCATTACAAGATTTTTAGATTCTTTGTGCGCCATCTGCTGGTGAACTTGAAACAAACATGTGGCCCATTCCTGCTCTCTCTGATGGGAGCAGCAACATCGGCTCACCTAGCTTGGGGAACTTTTGTTCTAAGTCCAGCCAGATATTCCCAATTACCTTACAGTCCCCACAGCCAGAAACATGGCTAGCTTATACTGAAACATACTCTCTGGTGCTGCCCACTCCAAATTTTCCATAGGTGACTGGGCACTTTGGCTCACCAGCTCCCGGGTCAGAGCTTACACACGTTAACTTTGGCCCAGTTGTCTCAGCCTCATAGAAAGGCCAGCACGGGGTGAACACTGTGG